CAGCTATATAACAGCAGCAGCTATATAACAGCAGCAGCTATATAACAGCAGCAGCTATATAACAACAGCAGCTATATAACAGCAGCAGCTATATAACCTGTCTCTTATACACATCTAGATGTGTATAAGAGACAGCCCCCAAAAAACGTGTGTCGGGCAGATTTATGATTAAAGCGAAAAGCACACAACACTTAAATTTTGGAAATTTGATGGTGAACGTACAGCCCGACCCACGTTTTTTTGGGGCGAACCATAATTTATTTTCTACTTTTTAGTCCACAAGAAAAACGTGGTTTTTTAAAAAGTTTTTTAAGTATTTTATTTTCTACTTTTTAGTCCACAAGAAAATCGATTAAGACTTGATTAAGTATGACTTGACGCACGTATCGATGATACGCAGCGTCAGCGCCTGCTCGTCTATAACGTGAGCGCCCGCACGTCATACTATATATATATACTATATATATAGTAAAATTTTCTTGCAATAAAGAAGGTTGTAGACTTCTTCCAAATATGGACTACATCGGGCTCACAACCACGACTCTAAGCCGACGTCTCACCTGCTGCCACCTTCAGTCCGGAGGACCAAGGAATCACTTGAAGGAGGCCCACAACGAGACCATCACTCGCCCGATATTGGAAGAATGCACCAGTATCGTTATGCGGTGCCCCGATCCTATACGACTGGCTATAGCTGAGGCCCTCATCATTAAGCAGAGGACTCCAGCTATCAACCTTCAAACCACCGGCTTCGTCAGAACTTTGAGATTATTTTCCGAGTAGTTTTTTGCGCTTGTAAAATCTTCCTGTAGGTAGTATCACATTGACGAAATTTTAGCATTATTTGAATGGTATCCAATTTACTTGATTTCGTACATATGTCAACCCAAATTTCGTTACTCATTGCGTCTTTAACTTGAAAATGAATGTTGTGCATTCGAAACGTCGTTCAATATTAAAAATGTCTATCGGTAGTTTAATTTTCAATCTTCCAACACCTACGAAGAATTTAGTACGACTTATTGAAAAAACTAACAAGAAGCTAATAAATAAAACTAATTCTCTGGTCTTTAACAAAACTTGTTTAAGAGAAGAAATTCTGCCAGCCTACACTAATATACTATATATATACTTTACTCAATTAAACCAATTTAGGTCTCTAATTGCTAGTTTTTATGATTGTATCTGAAATTGTTAGGCGAAAATAGCCTGCATGCCGAATTTCAGATCTCTAGAACAATCAGAAGTGGGCTAATTTTCGTTGTCAATGTTAACAACAAACAAACAAACAAACAAATAAACAAACAAACAAACGCGAAGCTAAGCTAAGAAAAACGTGTTAAAAAGACTGATTTTTATATGTATGTATATGTGGATAATTTCTTAGATTGGTAGATTAAAGTTCACATCCATGTAGGGAAGGTAAAACATAAAAATAACTGTAACTTTTTTACTGTATCTAACCCTGGGGTAACCCATACTAGTTCGGTTAGGTTAATTGCAATAAAGTTGCATTGATATGTTTTAAAAATGTTTTATTATCATTAAATGTTAATGAGTAAATCCCAATAGCAGAACAATAAATATTTAGAGATTTACAATAATTTTGGCCATTGTAGCGGCTAATGTAGCGCGCTACATTTTACTGTAGCGGTAGCGGTAGCGCCCGTTACAATCTAGTGGGTGTAGCGGTAGCGGTAGCGCTCGCTACATTTAGAGCATGTAGCGGTAGCGGTAGCGCCGCTACATTTCCAAGTAGCGCTGCCCAGCTCTGACTATAGTACATGAAATGCCTCGACATCAACATGTATTTGTATCGGTTATGTTAATCTTGGATCTGCTTTATCTATTAATTTTTCTATGTCTTTAATACATGGACTATTCTATTCTATTCTATTCTATTCTATTCTATTCTATTCTATTCTATTCTATTCTATTCTATTCTATTCTATTCTATTCTATTCTATTCTAGTAAGGCTCTAGTTATCATGATAAAATTAGATGAGATGTGCGTGAAAGTATCATCATGAGTTTGAAGATGTGATTCAGCCTCAAATAAGTTAGAAATTAAGGCTCTAGTTTTCATGCACATTATGGGAGAGTCTAATCCATGTCAGTTGCCTTAATCTAATCAGTTTCAGTTATTTAGTTAAATAGTCTCAGACAAAAATAAAGGAATGATTGCAGTTCCAATTATTTTCAAGTGGACCTATTACGAACATAAGAGTGAAGTTATAATAATATCCTTTGAACCAAGTTCCTCATGAAGGACGATATATATTAACTGTTGTGATGCAGACTTTGTGATGTGAAACGTATATCTAATCGAAAAAAACTTGCCATGCACGTAGAATTAAAACGTCAGAGTTGACATATAATGTTGTGCATTATTGATTTGCATTCGCCTGCTCATTAGATGAAACTAATCAAAAATTGCTTTCTTTTCGGCAATATGCGCTGCATTCACTGCCCGCATTCACAGCAAGAAAATATTATATTTTCTTCTTAAATAGTATTATATTTCTTAAATATATATATTATTATATTTTCTTCAACAAAAATACATCAATCATTGAGAATGATTGCCCTGTAATGATTGATTGAGTAATGATTGATGATTGATTGACTCAAGTCTTACGCTAACACTTATCAACCGCGGTATAGACAGCTACGGTGACTCAATGGCAAGGCATTCAGCAATAGTTCTCATTTACATGGGGGGTTTTGAGACGTTTTAATGGAACAATATAGCAATACCAATGAAATAGCAGGCGAAATATGTGTGAACTGCTGACAGCTCTGTGTGAACGTTGATATTTTTGCTTGGCTGCACTTGAGCCTTGGTGAAAAGTGAATATATTCGTTACTCTACCGGGCTTTTTTAGCTAACTTAAAAACCAAGCAACTATATTTCCACATTTTAGTTCACAGTTTTCTTTTCGATAGAAAATTCAACACAATTAAAATATATTTGAGGATTATTGAACGGATTTTTTTCATGTACGATGCGATTAGGCTATATGATTTTTACTTAATGAAGGACAAAAAATGTGTTTTTTATCTGTACTAAATACTATATCGATCCATGATCAATTCCTTGTATCTATTATTGAAACAATTCATGTTCAATCTCACACATATTAAAAATAAGGACAATAGAATGCGCTTGATATCTCAATATGTTTATTAGTAAAAATATGTATAGTTACTTTATCTATTCGTAGCACATTGAAATAGAGCCAACATGGCGGCCATGCGACGACACTGGATGTTGCTGATGGCGACAGCGGCCCTCGCGTTCTTTCTTGTCATGTTGTCTTCTACGTCGGTGAGTCACTTCCATTCTTACATTCAAAATATTAGTCTCAATATTAAACTTTATGTCTAATGATGACAACTCTAATACCCGAACTCTAATAAGTTCGGTCTCTAAGTTCATAATATAAATAATCGTAATAAGTTCGAACTCTAATAAGTTCAACGATTAATTAACGTCAATTAAACGTTGTTTCAACGTCATTTATCAGCTGAGTCTTGGGTCGCGTTTGTAAAAGTGTGGCGGATCTAAAAGTTCAACTCGCAGCGTTCGTTCCGAGTGCTGCGCGACTCGAATAAATTTGTTGTGAAATTGATGGATTTGTCCCTCAATTGTATATTTTACTAAAAGAAGCCTATTTGTTGATTATTGACTCGTATGTACAACAACATTTGTTGTTTTTTTTTTACTAAAAGAAGATTATTTGTTGTTGTTGAATAACTTTATCATTCAAGTTATACAAAAATAGTTTAACCAATCTTAATACTGTCATCATTTAGAACAATTACAAACTTTGTTCAATTCATGTAATCTTATTTTCGTTTTGCCAGCTCTCCTCGCACGCTGCCGTCACGGTGCTAGGGGGGCAGAGTGACACGCAAGACGAGGTGCGTGAGCTCTTGTAACCACCCGCAAAAAATTACAATCGGTGGATGTAAATTTTTTCTCACTAAATTCTGTCTAATGAAGAAGTCTGTTTGTGAATGCTTTAACAATTTTGGTTTAATGTTTAAGATTTAAAAATTTTATCCCAAGTAAAATTTTATCCCAAGTTTACTAATTGCAAGTAAATACTTACATGTTTTAACATAACTTCAACAGCTTGAAAATTATGTCTTCCGGATTGCATGGGATATATAGCTGTGACTTTAACATTGTCTTGCTTAATCCGAATTCGCCATTTTTTGCATTTTATTTTGTTATTTTGTATGCATTACTAATTTTTACCCATAATAATATAATGTAAGTAATATGTTGCACAAATTGGGCAGATAGCATGGCGCATGCGTGGCCCCCTCATGGCCGACGACCCGCGCCTCATAGAATACATCAAGCATCACCTGCTCCTACCGCCCTCACGCCTGCCCTACAACCTAACCATCGCCTCCAGTCGCCGAAATGTCTACCTCTCCGCCATCTTCATCGCCAGCATCGTCAGACAGTTGTTCAGGTAAAGGCAACCTCCCTATTTTTAGGAACTTGCATGGTCATGTGCAGGTAGACTTGTTGAAATGTCTACCTCTCCGCCATCTTCATCGCCAGCATCGTCAGACAGTTGTTCAGGTAGATGTAACCTCCCTATTTTTAGGAACTTGCAGGGTCAGGTGCAGGTAGACTTGTTGAAATGTCTACCTCTCCGCCATCTTCATCGCCAGCATCGTCAAACAGTTGTTCAGGTAAAGGCAACCTCCCTATTTTTAGGAACTTGCATGATCAGGTGCAGGTAGACTTGTTGAAATGTCTACTTCTCCGCCATCTTCATCGCCAGCATCGTCAGACAGTTGTTCAGGTAAAGGCAACCTCCCTATTTTTAGGAACTTGCATGATCAGGTACAGGTAGACAAGTTGAATACCTCCCTCCCCATCTTTAGGAACTGGCATGATTACATGGAGATCTGGCATATTCACGTAAATGTCACCCTCCTCATCTGTAGGAACTCGCATGATTCGATGAAGGTAGACATATTCACGTAAATGCAACCTCCCTATCTTTAAGAACTTGCATGATCAGATCACAGAAGCTTGCAAGGCGTCTCCAGGGCATCTTTAAAAGACATGACGTACATTGTGCCATGAACCGCGTATGCTCGTTATTGTATCGTTGCGCTCGTTATTTCGCACTGTCACTGTTGGAACGCACTGGGCTTTTGACTGGGTTGATCTCCATGTAAAATTATTTATTTAGAACTGTTCATTTTAATATTTTTCTCTGCATGGTCAATTGGTCATGCATCAATGCTCATAAAAATGAATATTTTGTATTATACTTATCTAATGTGTATACTGTATACATACTAGAAGGGTACTCAAGTTTTTAAGGATATACAGAAAATTGTAGGCAAATAGTCAGAGTTTCTGTGGTAGATACTCAAGTATCCTTACGTAATAAAAATAGTACATAGCGGTGTCAGCGTTGATTATGCCTTTAGATCTGCCACCCATTTTGAACATTGCATAATTTTTTTAGCTTGCTGCGTGTCTCGAACCCGCAATTCACCGCTCCTTTTTGCTGCGTTTAACTGCCCTGCCAACTCGCCATTTTGACTATAACTGTATAGCAAAAAGCTGGGACCGAACCACAGCGCACTGCTCTAATCTTGGTACTCTGAACCGTAACCACTGGACCAACCTGCCCTACATGGATAAAATAGAAAATAAATGATAAAAGGATTAAATAAAATAAAAAGCACTCGTGACCAAATTGAAATTGTACCAATTGTCTGCCCGGTGACCTAATTGAAGTATGCAGGTATCTCATTGTTAATACTCGGACCCAGAAGGATTACTAGAATTTGAAACAAGAACCAACACCAGGGGCCACGGCTATAAACTAAAAAACTGCGCTGCAACTTCTCCGCGGAACAACGTTTCTTCTTGCCTCGAATTAACAACACGTGGAAATATAGCCTCCCTGATTGCATCGTTGACGCTCCTAGCATGAACGCATCCAAGAACAGACTAGACAAAGCTACGTTTGGATCTCCTGTATGCTTTTAGATCTCCTGTGAACAAGTCACGAAAAGTACAAGAATCGGAGACAGGCCACAGCAAGCCCATTCTTCAGCGCCGACACCACTTTGCTATGTTATGTTAACACATCACACTAGTGATGCGATGAAGAGCCAACATTGACCGTGAAATTTACCGGAGCTGTTAACGTTAGGCAGGTGCAGAGTTAAGTGATTTAGTTAAATATATGATCCGATATGCTAAAATAAAAAACCTTTTTGTACTACTGGTATGTCTTCAGTACCTACTGCATGAGGAGGTGAGGCTTCGATAGAGTGTACCCCTTCTCATTAGCATTCGATTAAAGTAGGAATGATCACGTAGCTTTGGTGCTGCTGCTAATAATACGTGAACCTTGATTCGAATGATAAATTAATGTATTATTATACTCTGGGCAGGGGGAAGAAGGGGTTCTTCGTGGAGGCGGGGGCGCTGGACGGAGAGTACATGTCGCACACGCTCAACCTGGAGCTTCAGCTGGGCTGGCAGGGGCTGCTCGTCGAGCCTGACCCCAACAACTTCAGCAGGGGTCACTTCAACAACTTCAGCAACAAACTCAGGTCACTGGAAGTCAGACGTTTTGGTATCGGAAGTTCAACCATGACTACGTCTGGTCGTGTGATAGTAAAGACAACAAACTCAGGTCACTGGAATTCAGACGTGTTGGTATCTGCAAGTTCAACCATGACTGCACCTGGTCGTGGGATGGTTAAGAATTACATATGAATTTTACAGGATGTTCATACCAGTACCTCAACGTAGAACTGAATCGGAAATGTACTGATGCTGATATTAATTAACGTTGGTAATAGATTATTATCGCTGTTAAACGAGTATGAACGCATTCATTAAGAACAGACTAGATGAAGCTATGCGGGAACATATGTTCAATCTTGAAATGCCTATGGTTCCTTACGAGCCTGGCATTAATAAATCCAGCAACTATCTCAATCAATCGTCAGTTATGGAAAGATCGTGTTCAAAAAGCCGGATCCTTGGTGGAATCAATTTGCGAAAAGTCCAAGAATCGGCAACAGGCCATGGGCCTATTTCTTCAGTGCCCACACTTCTATTCTATTATAAATTTCACGTATTAAAACTCTTAAAATTTAATTAAAAGTTAAATATTATAAAAGTTCACGTCATGAATTAAGCGTTTGAGCAGAGTCAAAATTTGGAACACTTCAGACCTAAACGAGCAGAGATGAAATGCGCCATCTACAATACATGTACAGATGTACATTTAATTAACAGATGTGCAGTAAACATTTATCAAAATAACTAACGTCAATTGAAGTTAATACAAGCTATGAGTGACGTTGTAGCCGAAGCTAAAACTGTCAAAATTATGATAAATAGATATATTATCGGTAAGCCATTGCAAATCATAATGTTAACAGAAGGAATTGTTTGCTTATGTTTTTTTATAAATTTGAGTTACGAATTACATTACAGTATACTGTGATAAGATGCAATTCGGACCAGGAGTTCAGAGATTTGGACAGGAGTTCAGAACAACGTAAGTTCTTGGTTTTGTATCTTAAGATCGAGGACGTTCTTTTACGAAGAGGGGTGGTGTCAGTGAATAGTTTGTGCACACAATTCCTGATGTATTTATTAGCAGACCTAGTTAACTTTTAGCTTGCGATAGGCGCTGAGTCGACATCTTATGTGTCACTAGGACAAAAGCTTTGTGGGCGAAAGAAGCAGGTCTATAATAAATGGGCTGGGCACTTTGATAAGCTGCTCATTAGCTTGCGCGACCGTCACGCGATGTTGCACTCATAGTAATAGAATTACTCCGACCATATGGTCCAATCTCTTATTGCCGTGTTTGTACCTCTTTAATGACTCTGCAATGTATGTGAGTCTGTCAAGATAAGTCTATAAGCTAGACAGAGTGTGTCTTTACTTATCCCTCACATAGTCATAGAATACATGGCCTCAGGTTAAACCTACGTTCAATATATACTCGCGATACCCTCATCAAGTACCCCCCGACAGTTTTCCTGCCCAGCCGAAGTAATTAGGGTGAAACATTTTTCATATTAAACGTTGCTAGCTCAGCTTTATCAGCAAATATATCACGAAAAAGTATCGCTTAAAGGGTAATTTTTCAGTATATCAACATATTTATGTTATAACAGTGTTTGTGATCCAGGCTTCCGTCATCCAAGCATGTATTCTTGATGGTGATGTTGCCCCCAAATAAGCGCGACGCTCGTACTTGACATAATTGGCTAATTAACTGCTTTGTGTCTGTAGTTAATTATTATTATCGTTCTGTGACCCGAGAACAGATCAAAACAAAGGAAGGCTTGGACGAGCGCCATCTGCCTCTCCGTCACCCCATACGCTGAGGAGATGCTCCTCTGGCGCGCCGTGGAGGGTCATGGAACCCCAAGCCTCATACAGGGCACTGGCAGGCTCTTTTCGGTGAGTGCAGGGCATAATTAGACCAAATCGTTATTGGTGACGAAACATGGGTGGCCTACGTCACACCAGAATCGAAACAACAATCCATGGAATGGCGACAGTCATCACCACCCAAAAAAGTGAAGGTAAGCAAACAATTTCTGACCGGAAAATCATGTGCACAGTTTTTTGGGACAGAAAAGGAGTATTGCTAGTGGAGTTTCTGCCTTGTAATCAGACAATCAATGCAGCGTCATATTGTGATACAGATACACTGAAATATCTGGGTCGTGCAATCCAGAACAAAAGACGTGGCAAGTTGAGTAAGAGTATAGTTTTGCTGAATGACAATTCCCGTCCATATGTGGCTAATCCGACCAAAGGTCGCATCAAATAATTTCAATAGGAAACTCTAGATCATCCTGCATACAGCCCTAATCTGGCGCCCAACGACGACCATTTGATACTGCACTTGAAGAAACATCTGGGCTTTCAGCGTCTTCAAGACGATAATGAAGTCAAAACATTTTTGTTGCAGTGGTTAACAAGTCAGGCGCCAGAATTTTATCAGGAAAGTACTCACTAACTGGTGCCACATTATGACAAGTGCCTCAATATTCAAGGAAATTTCTATGTAGAAAAATAGATTAAGGTAAAGGCTTTCATGTATAAATAAAATTATTGCGATATATTTGCAAGTCTTTTTTTAATTCTAAAATGGTACTTACTTGAAAAACATGCCTCGTAGCAAGAGCTTAACGCCACCATATTCTGAAGCGTATAGCCCACAAAGTAATGATCGTCCACTACTGAGCGTTACATCTAATCATCACATCATACCCTGACTTCAGCTCGAACAGTATCCAGCGGACAATAGACTGCGATCAATCAGCCTAGCTCGCCAGTGGAACTGCATAATCCTGCCGTGCACCACCAGACGGTCACTTTTAGCTCAAAGCATCTGGAGTTGGGTTTCAGAGAGCATAGTTCTGTTCCAAAATTTATCGTCCTTCGACGAGTGGCCCTTCAACCGGAGGTTGATTCGACTCACGGGACAGATAGCGACGGGTTAGTGGCGGGCATCAAATTCGCTGCAAGGCTGAGGTGTGCTCTTTCCGAGTGGTGTTAAGGCTTGTAGTCAGAATGCAGCGAAGTCTGAGAGCGAGGTTTTCGCGACCATCGTGTAAAATTCTTGATCTGTCCGAAGCTCGGCCAGTCGCTGCCCTCGAGCTTGTACTCTTTGTAATATGATATCCTAGCCAGCCCCTTTCTTGCGGCAACTGGTCGCTTTCAGGTGGCCGAAGAATGGCCAACGGTCGGCTATAACTAAATGGACTAGGCCGACCACTGGCCACGTATTATTCTTCGCCCCTCATTGAGTTGGCCGTCACTATGCCGCCCGTCGTGAACTGACAGTCGAGTAATTTACTACATCTCTTTCCCCTCGTACCTTCCACAACGCCTCCATTTGAACAGCTAGTATGCAAGATTTTCCCTCCTCGTATCAGCAGGCTCGATCATAACTATTTTTTGAGAAATAATATTTACAACAAGGAGGCTGATCAAGGAATGCCGAGTATACCATTCAATGGAGAATAAAAATTACAGCCCGTTTACATCTCGAAAAAAGTATAAAAGTCGCAGACTTGATGAACAATAATATTCAAAGTTTCTTGAAATTTCCTCTCATTAAAACTCTTTTAATACAAAGTTTACATATTTTTTTGTTCCTGTCCACCGTTTATAAATAAATAGCTGGGTAAGCATGGAAAAATCCAGCTCATTTACGAGTGGAGTAAAGTCTAGTCTAATTTGTGAAGAAACGCATAGGGAAGAGCCGAGCCTGTTCGAAGCCTCTCGGTTCTCAATCAGGGCCTTAGGGCCCCGATGGAGCAGCAAGGCCACTCGAGCCTTGCTGCTCCATCGAGTGGCCTGCTCCTTGCTGCTACATATTATAGACTGCTGCGTAGAGGCCGACGCTAGAGTCGGGTGCTCACTGTTATAGCAGACTAGGATAAAGGATATTAAAATTGGGATAGAAACCGCCAGCGTGAAGTAAAAGCTATAATAGCATGTTATCGTTAGCTTACCTGGAACTGCTATATTTCTCTATCTTTGCATCTTTAAACGCCAGTTCTTGCTGTGCAGAGATATGAGCTAGCCACGGAGTCCGAGCTTTACAACGCTGTACTCTCATCGTCGCAGTGCGTGCCAGTTTCTTCACTACTTCTGGCATTAAACATCACTCACGTCGATTTCTTCGTCCTAGATGTGGAGCAAGTCGAAGAGAAAATATTATTCTACTTTCCATTTGAGAAAATAAGCGTGGATGTTTGGGCTGTAGAACACGTGACCGGCTACGAAGACCAGAGTTTCATTCGTTTCATGGTCAGCAAAGGCTACTACTATTTCGACGCGCTGTGTGCCGAGGTGCCAGACTTTATTTTCGTCAGAAAGGAGAGTGAAATTTTCGAGGCTTTACAAGTGCCAATGGAGCCAACGAACAGATCAGCCATCTGCCACTTCAAGAAGGCCAGAACAAGAACCAACTACTCTCTCGCAGTCGAAGACTTGCGTGACTTGCATCACTATCCTCAGTTGATTTATAGAGATGTTCCTGAGGTCAATCCCGTGCCGTTGGTTGGAGATTACTTATCATGGAGTCCAGAAACTGAAAATTCGAATTCAATTAGAAAATATATCGTGCTGCAATGACCTAAAGCCCTTGTTGATCAAAACTGATTACCAGCACTATTTTATATCTCGTAAAATGTGCTTATTAGAATTGACATGAAAATCCATGATTGCGGCTTCAGGCACTCATTTTGAATTGTAACTGAATATGAGGATTTACTGATTTCTTAACCTGCTACCATATCACCAATTACCTTGAAGAAAATTCAAGTTAAAGTTCATAGTTCATCTGTAGCAACTATGCCGAGCCTTCACATAATACTGGAGAATATAATCAAAAGGCGATGTACCTCCTATCAATAAACTGATGATGTGAGCAATGCTACAAAAATAATACTTTCAGAAGTCCTTACGCCTCTCGCAAGATCCAAGCCTAAGGACAGCAGTATTGGTATAGCCCACCTCTGACGTCTTGTGTTAAGGGCATTAGCAGTGTATAAGTACACCTCTAACGTCTCACGTTAAGGGCATTAGCAGTGGATAAGCACACCTCGAACGTCTAGTGTTAAGGGCATTATAGCAGTGGATAAGCACACCTCTGATGTCTTGTGTTAAGGGCATTAGCAGTTTATAAGTACACTTCTATAACGTTTTGTGTTAGGGGTGGTAGCAGTTGCTAAGCAAGAGACGTCGGCAACCCGCACTAAGGATGGACAATGTAGAAAAATTTACATTAACCTGCTACCGTGATAACCTTACATAGCAAATAAGACGACGTCAGATGCTCGAGATCTGCGCTGTGACGCACACGAACTGTGTCCGTAGAACTACTTTCAAGATAATAGCATCGATATCAGCTTTAAAAATAAATTAAGATTGAAGCCGAAACCTAATCAGCATTTTTCGTCAAAAATTTTTTATCCATGTTTCCATGATGAACAATATAAAAATGTAGTTTCTTCACTTAAATAATTATAATCAGACACACTTTCATCTAATCGAAGGCGTACGTACCGAGCGTGACTGGATATGCTCTGCCAAGGAGAAGGGATGAAAACGAACGTGTATACAAACTGAAATGAATGTATTACGTGGAAAAATAGGTATTATTTGAGTTAATAGCAATGTCAATTAGATTAAGAAAAGATACACAAAAATACTAATAGGTAAATAAACGGTGCCAGTGGGAAAAATAATTTCAAATCTTCAACATATTTACCATCAAATTTTTCGTATTTCCCTACTTAGGAGTGAATCTGTATAGCGATATCCGCGAACAGGAGATTATTCCTTTTACATAGATTGGTAAGATTTCGTTAGTAAATATCTTATCTTTTCTTGGACAAGACGGATTAAAAAGTCGTTAAAAAGTAATTCATCCAAATTCTAAAAAGAAGTCGCAAAAGGAACTGACTAATTTGAGACATGGAATCTTGTTCTTGCTTCAATTTTCTGCTAAAATGTGTTGGTCTAAAGGCGAGTTGGGTGTTCACAAACATATGAAAGCTAACAAATGATATATAATATCATTTATATGCAGTAAATGATTTTACTGAGCTCGAAGTAACGTGGTTCTCAACTTTTCACGATAAATGATCGCTATGAAAACGTACGAGTGAGATAATAATTATTGGTAAGGGAGTATTTAAACTTTCGGGCACGGGAAAGGCTCCTACGTGGGGTGATTGTTGAAAAAGCAATGATTTAGTTGGAGTTCAGAGAAACATGGGTAATCGCACAGCGAGCAATGNCTACTTAAAAAATCAAATAAGGAGGATGCGTATACTACCACTACTACTCGTGCTTAGTGAGCCTCCTTTTAATTAAAGTATGGATCACAGAAATGTTAATGCTTCCATAAATGAGTTTTCATATTACAAAACGTTTAATTATTATGATAAAGGCAGCAAAGTTAATGAAGAGATCTAACATAGCAAAATTTCTCATCTTATAGCAAAATTTCTCAGCTCTCACATTAACGCATTTAAAAAAGTTATATTTTAGAAAACATCCCAGTTGAATCATTATTATTAAATTTAATTAGCTTGAATGTCCATGAAATTGTCGCAATCATTTAGACAATTATGAAGGTCCAACAAATATCATCCGGCACGGCCACTGTAAGGAATACGGCCGTTATTAAGGCAGAGGACTTTCGTGATCGCTACGGTTACGGCACGCAGCTAATGGTGCCAGTCTACGGGATAGCATTACGGATCAGCGTACGGCGGAAAAATTACTGAGCATGAAAATTGTTTGGAAACATTTAATTCCAAAGCGGTTGATTCCGCTATATGTTTAGGAATTATGAGTGATGACATGATGAAACATGAATATCAAACATTAAATCTACGCATCTATGCACGTCTCTATGTCTTTCGTAATTGTAATAATATCAAACATTAATCTGTTTATTTTACGCGTAATTAATGTTTTAATTCAGTACCCATACCCTCATTTTGCCGTTAAATATGATGAAAAAAATACAAATACAATACAATTACAATGCAATACAATAAAACCAAGCCCATCATGCAAGTAAACAAAGCTAAGTCAATTTCCTAGCTGTGTCAAACTTGTAATTTTCTTAATTTTTTCTTCGTTATTCAAATTATAAATTTGTCCACGAATTATGTTCCATCCAAAGGAACCACGGGCGGTGCAGCACAATGTCTTCCCATCAATCCAACAAATTACGGCCACACAAAGTTTCATGACGCGCACGTTCCTCAAGATCTGTCGGGAGCCGCGAGATCATCACAAGACTATTTATTGTATAGTATGAAGGCACGTTGGTTTTATTCATTTAACGAGTACCATCGGTTTATTCTACCATGAAATCATAACGCGATAACATATAAAGCATTTAGTGTTGCAAGTTATGGCAAATGGGCCAGATAGGAACTGAAAAGCGTGACATAAGCACTACAGGTACTCGTATTGGGTTAAGGCACACACTTAATTGTTCAGAACACAGTTAAGTGTATGCCTCCGCTACCAACAACAGTTCATTTGAGGTATGGCAGCACAGCAGCAGGAGGGGAATCTTACTCAGGAAAAGCTCTCCCTGTGGGACTGATTTGATGACCGCATACACTTTGCCGTACATCAGAAGGCAGACCATGATCGTCTCTGATAAAATATGAAAATCTTTTACAGTGTCTCTATCAGACGAAAAACTAGTACGAGGGTATGATTATTAGCATTAAAATTAAGGCAGGATAAATTTTCGTCTATTGTGCTGTTCAACATGTATTTTACCTGTTACTATTTACCTGTTTTTTCTTCTGAGACTCGTATCCAATCTCATGGTCTGACTTCTTCGAGTTCTCTACTGAACCTCCGAGGTCTGGGGATGGGACACCATCTTCCATATCTGAACACAAAAAAAAAATGAATCAAAGTTTCACTTCACAGAATTCGAACACTTAAGCAAACTACATGAAAAGCGAGTATTGTCATGATCTCTGTCTCGAATAAATGTCTCATCCTTACTGTCGAATTTCCTAGTCCTCCTGCGAAGGTAGAATATGTGCTATAGAGAGGAAGAGTATATGTTTTCAAGTTACAAAATGTTTATAAATCACCCATTCGTGTCACTTCCCAATTAAGGGTACGTACACAGTGAAAGCAGGTTTGCCCGCGCGGGCAACCTGCTCCAACCTGCCACATGAATGAACATAGGATAATAATGTAAGTGTTCACAGTGAAAACCTGTACGAATAGACTTCTGTCGACAACCTGCTTATACTTATTTACCGGAATGTACTGCACATTCTTATCTGCTCAACCTGCTTGGCATATGGTCATTTTTGAAGAAGTTGTACCTTTAAACCATCCATTTCGAAAAATTGACACGAACAAAAAAGTCTTAGAATTCTGTTTTACATAGGTGTACCAAGTTTCAAAGTGATCCGTCCGTAAATAAAAAAAAGTTTTTTTTACCACATAGACGCTCGCCTTAAAGGTTAGCATTTTTGCCTGAAGAACGGCAGTAACCTAAACCCTTTCAATTTCAGCTGGTTTCCTGCTTCCTCTGTGAACCTCTCGCGCTTGTTTCAGGCGCCAGCCTCAGCAGGTAACCAGCACGCTGGCAACCTGCTTCCTCTGTGAACCTCTCGCGCTTGTTTCAGGCGCCAGCCTCAGCAGGTAACCAGCACGCTGGCAACCTGCTTTCACAGTGTACGTACCCTAAGTCATCATTAAAATGCGTTGCTCACCTCCTGTCATCGCAATGGATGTCAGGGCGTAATAAGATTTTATTTTCTACTATGATATAGCATAAATAAGCTTATTATTTTGACTAAGCTTATTATTAAATGTTTCCGCAAACCATGCGTTGAAAAAATATATATACCCGTTACACACAATTATTAGTCTCAGAAAACATTATCAAGCTCGTTTGCATAGCGTAGTCGCGAAGTTCATATTTGTTGCCGGAAATTCCGAAACCTTGATGAAAAGTTCTAAACGACGGCCGATGAAGGCTCTACGCTAACCGATAATAATATTATGACATCATTTTCATTTATATTTTAACAAACCTGAAATACTAATGCAGCTACGCAATTTTTTATCAATAGCTGCAGTTTTGGACACCTGTACCACTTTCATAATTTTTCACGCCAAATAATTAATTCCGGATTGAGTGTTTGTCGAGTCAGCAGTTTTATTTGAATTTTGTAATTCTTACTCTATTTGTAGAATAAACTTAGACAGCCAAAACTTAAGCGTTCTCAGAGGAATATTAGAGCTGTTCAACCACTACCACGATTCCAGATGTGGCGACCACATCTGGAAAATAGATGTGGTCAACCACATCGTCGACCACATATCTCTGCTATTTCAACCCAGTTACAAATTCTACCTAACCACCAAAATTGTTCGTGCAAAGCTCGAAACTTCATCTGCTCTGTAACCACACTTTACCTGGCAAGGAGGGCGCCATTTTCCATTTTGGAAGGAAAGGCATCTTCTGTTGCACTAACAATTAATTATTTTGCTGGGAGACGGTATTTACACCACACGGAAAAGCTGAGTGCTTCGAAAACAAAGACTGAAATACCAGAAAAAAATATTATGGATCACATAAATGATTTTTCACAATTAACCACAGCCCGAAGCGTCTCTACAGCCGACGATAGTGACGTGCGTGTGACGTCATAAAATGTTTCACTCACGACACATATAACGATGGGGAAAGCGGCCTTGGCTTAATGACTATAGGCTATTTCTACACGTGTTGCATGAACAAATTATTATTATAATTATACATCGACATTAACTTTTCACGCATTTGTCACGCGAGTTTAAATGTACTTGTGTGTCACGATTTTTCTTCTAATCGTAAAGTTGATCGTCTTCACAATTCACTTAGAAGTACTAGGTACACAGTCACAGATTACTTGATTTTGAACTTGTTGCACAGCAGAGCAAATGAAGTAATCCAACGCTTCAACATACAAGACTTCAACAAGAACAATTTGCCTATATAGCTCTTGCTGCTGCTGTGAGCCAGATCATCTGATTCTTCATCGTCGTCGCCATTCACTTAATAAATTCCGATCTGAGTCTGAGAGAAATTTATTAATAGCTTTAAATTTAATCTTGGTTTCTTATGTTGAATGTGAAATTCATTTATTTAGCAATTCATTGAGGTGCTGTAATAATTGCATAGAATTATTAATCGAATTCAGGTAATGATCTAATGCGCAAAAACAGTTCATGGCCCGTATGCTAAATAGGGCACTAGCACTACGAAGTAGCACTATGTACTACAAAGTGTCCTGTTGGTATGCTAAATACGTCACAGACACTAAGCACTTCGAAGTAGCTCTACAATGTTTAGTGTCGCTTAGTGTCGCACTACTGATTCGTATGCAGAAAGACTTTGAAGTGCTACTTCGCTGTTAGAGTACTATATAGTGCCGCACTACGCTATTAGTCTATTGAAGAATGGTAGTTAAATGCTCAAATAATTAATTATTCCCTAAGTAATTCTCATTCTTTGCAGAAGATTGATGCAAAATGTCTAATTGTGATGGTAATGGTACTAGTGAAAATTGTGATGGTGAGCTGAAATTTGCAATGCGTCTGCGCACCTTTCCCATCATATATTCAAAGTCCACGTTTCCCAAATACATCGAACAAAAGAGAGAAGAGTGGAAAGTTCTTGCAGAAGAATTTAAAATGACTCCAGAAAAAAAAAGAAAATTCAAAACATGGTATCAAAAACAAGAAAAGTATTTTCTACTTCTACGCTGTTTATCTGTTTTGCCAAGGAAAATGTCAGCCATAAGAATAACATGTTATTCACTGAAGCGGTACACTTTTTTTTATTCATGGCATGTGGTTCCTGATATTTTTACGCGATGATGCCTTTGCTGTAAGCCAAACAGATTCATAGCTGACGAATTAAACAAGTGAAATATACCGTAGTGCCGTCGTGAAGTGTGGTGTGTAGGATACTTCAGATTTTTGTAGTGCGCGTTATGCTTTTGGCCCTATTTAGCATACCAACCGTAGTGTTCCATGCCGCACTATGGCTTGTAGTGCGTAGTGCTGCTTCATAGTGCTAGTGCCCTATTTAGCATGCCAACCGTAGTGTTCCATGTCGCACTAGTACCGCACTATGGCTTGTAGTGCGTAGTGCTACTTCATAGTGCTAGTGCCCTATTTAGCATGCCAACCGTAGTGTTCCATGTCGCACTAGTAGGCACTACGGCTTGTAGTACGTAGTGCTACTTCGTAGTGCTAGTGCCCTATTTAGCATACGGGCCCATGTCAGTCAGGAGCATCAGTCGATCAATTTCTCACGAATAATCTTTACCAAAGTAATTGACGCAAGTTCTCGTATGTCCACTTTTATCTTATTTGGGCGGCGGGAACTTTAAATAATAATTCCGATTTACTCATCATCTCTCATTTCTTAGATCTGCAGGATTAGCAAAAGTGCACATATTGCTGAGTGACCTCAGATCGGTTCATATGTGGACCGATTTCTAATCGATGTTGTATATTGTTTTTCGCTTGATAACTTAAAAACGTTCATTAAAATATGACATATGGAGACAATTATGTTATATCTAACTTACATAGACTGCAAATAAATTTGAAACTTAGCATCAACAATTATAAATTGGAATTATTAATGACTCATGCAAAATGCATTATAATTTTCCACATTCAACTCTTAAATTTTGATGCCTCACTAATTTGTACCGACATTTAAGCAGATGTGACACCACGCGTCTCTGTGATTAATAGGCTTAGCGCAGCTACCAATTTCAAGCAGGCAGGTTATCCCAATCGAACAATTTCGACCAACGATTTTACCAAATGTGCCAGAAAAACCAAATGGAAATTACGACAATTCCATAATCTCTGAAATTAATGTCGCGTCTCTTCAAATACCATCATCTTCCATGCAGTCCTTACGCCTCGTTCGATTTGAGAATTGCCTCTTTGTACCCCGAACAGCCTGGCTGTGAACAATTGGCCGCGATTTTAATGTTAATGAACAAAGTTACTAATTATCTAATTTAATTAATTTTGATCATATTGTATAATAATTAATCACACAGAAAATTAAGATTTAGTTCGTGAAATAGACACACTTATTAAGTTTAATACCATAAGAAAAATATTAAATTGGCTTACTTTAAACAAAATGTTGATAATCAGGGAATGCAGGACCGGGCAACACGTCTCTCTGCTACGTCAATCAATGCACTAACTTATGTGCTATTATTACCTTATGCTGTTGTTCAATATTAAATTTTAATACATAAAATAATGGACGTGTCTTTCTGTTCCTTATGCCCCATTTTACCGCACTTTCTCCTATAATATTGACATGGCCAAATTTGCAAATAAATTTCATAACAAATAATAATAAAAATCTCGAATCATGCCATAACATTTCAATCTTTGGTTCAGAGCCTATACTCAATGATTGGAAAAATGGACGTATGTAGCGAGGACTAAATTGGGCCACATGCAAGTAGGAATTTATCTGAACACTTTTTAAATTTTATAGTGAAAACATTTGAAGTGAACACCAAACATTTGTATCGTGTGGTGGGTGCACATGGTTTAGATTAATCCAAAGCTTCGGTTCCTTCATCTTGAAACATTCCGCCTTGTTTTACCTGTTAAAAAGCGTTCAGCGTCTNCCACCCGGCCCACCTACCCTGCCTATAAAGCACCTGACAAGCCCACAAGTCAAAGAAATCACTTGTCTAAAACATTAAATTGTGAGCAAACCTTGAACCATTCAATCATGATTGTCTTTTATTGACAGAAAAGCACACGACCCACTCGCTCATAGTTTACATAAGAAGAATCAACGAAAATTGCAAAAAAATAATAACATGCACAGATCAAATGCTTAGATGACATTAAAATTGGTCGAAAAATCCGCAGTGTTCGGCTCCTGTTAGTAGAAGAAATCGTCAAGATTAGAACAATAATCTAAGATAATTTTGTCAGGAAGCGCATGGTTATTGTAGATTTCTGTCGGAAGATTATTCACCAAAACGTACATAGTACCGACTAATCTTTTCTAAACAAAATTTATAGAACCACTTGACTGAATCGCGCCTGTTAATTTTTTGTTCTAAAACGAAAGTTCTGAAGCAAGCTAGACATTGGTCAACTAAAAATCATTATCAAATCGTTAAAGTTGGATTCTTTTGGTTGGAAACCACAAAAACTCAAAATATTCCTAAAACACGACGGTTTAGGTATAATCATGATTATTATAATAGTATTCGATTTAGTGAATGCAGAATATCATGATTTTCAAATTGACGAGACTATCTATTCGGGCAACATGCGGTCATTTTACTGCTATTTCTAAATTTCTAGCGAAGGATGAGAGTAATTAGATTCATGTTGAAATAAAGCATTCTTCAGATTTGTTTTTGAAGTAGATCAGAATCACGATGCCGATGACGCGCATTAATCTGTACAAAATTTAGTTTTCTACACGGGCTGAACTTTACTCGTTCATTCTACAGTAAAATCTCCTTTTTGACTGTAATTTCTTAATTACTTTTTACAGCTATAACTCATGAGATAAAATTCACGGATGAGAGTGCTAATAAAGATACTGTTTATATAATTTGGGGTGTGCGATATGATCAATATGAAATGCCTCAGCACGGCACCATAATTGCTCAAAATTCGGTGCGTTTCTCAGATAATTCTTGGTATTGGGTTGATTGTATCAATTTCCACTTTGTGTTATAGAACGGTGCAGTGTATCTATACCGATCTTGTGCCCCTGTAAATTCCTTAATATGTCACCACTTTCTAATACTTGACTGATTGTCGAGGAGGATATTTTATGCTCTGTGTTTATTTTAACTAATTTTCGGAGCTAGTCTCCTCTATCTTACACTCGCTTGGTGGTCCTGACTATCAGTGGCAACACAAATTGTCGGTACATAATTAGCGTCCCATACTCACCAAGTCCTATTGTCATCTTGTGTTAAGAGAATTATTAGTGGATAAGTACACCTCTAACATCTTGTGTTAAGAGAATTATTAGTGGATAAGTACACCTCTAACGTCTTGTGTTAAGAGCATTATTAGTGGATAAGTACACCTCTAACGTCTCGTGTTAAGGGCATTAGTAGTTGATAAGTACACCTCTAACGTCTTGTTTTACGGGCATTAGTAGTGGATATAAGTACATTTCTAACGTCTTGTGCTAGGGGCGGTAGCAGTTGATAAGCAAGAGACGTCGGCAACCCGCACTAAGGAGAGACTATGTAGAAAAATTCACATTAATCTGCTACCGTGATAACCTTACATAGCAAATAAGATAAGTCAGATGGCCGAGATCTGCGCTGTGACGTAAACGATGTGTTCATAGAACTATTTTCAAGATAATAGCACCGATATCAGCTTTAAAAATAAATTAAGCTTGAACCTGAAACCTAATCAGTATTTTTTCTTCGGATTATTTTTTATTCATGTTTCCATGATAAATAATATAGAAATATAGTTGGTTTCGTATAAATAATCAGACACACTTTCATATAATCAAAGGCGTATACGTACAGAGCGTGACTGGATTTACTCTGTCAAGAAGGGATGAAAACGAACGTGTATATTTTAAGCTAAAATAAATGTATTATGCGTAAAATAGGTATTATTTGATATACATTGCAGTGTCATCACAGATATCAAAGAATAGATTATACTGGTCCTTGCAGATTATTCTATCAGAACATGTCGAAGTATAACGACATACAATTTTATCTTTAACTTCCTATTATATTATTGGGGATAATGCACCACACCGACAGTTGATGAAAAATTAGATTAAGAAAAAATACACAAAAATACTAATAAGTAAATAAATGGTGCCGGTGGGAAAGATTACTTAAAATCTTCAACATATTTGCCATCACATTTTTCGTATATCCCTTCTTCGAAGTATATCTGTATAGTGATATCCACGAACAGGAGATTATTTCTTTAACCTATATTGGTAAGATTTCGTAAATAAATATCTTATCTTTTCTTGTATTATCTTTTCTTGTATAAGACGGAATAAAAAGTCGTTAAAAAAGTAATTCATCCAAATTCTCAAAAGATATATCATAAAGATAATTAATTTGAGACATGGAATCTTGTTCTTGCTTTAATTTTTTGCTAGAATGTGTTGTCTAAAGGCGAGTTGGGTGTTCACCAACATATGAAAGCTAACAAATGATATATAATATCATTTATTTGCAGTAAATAATTTTACTGAGCTCGAAGTAACGTGGTTCTCAACTTTTCACGATAAATGATCGCTATGAAAACGCACGAGTGAGATAATAATTATTGGTAAGGAAATATTTAAACTTTCGGGTACGGGAAAGGCTCCTACGTGCGGGGTGATTGTTGAAAAAGCAATGATTTAGTTGGAGTTCGGAGAAACATGGGTACTCGCACATGCAGCGAGCAATGATGAAGTTCCTATTTCGAACGTTTGGACGGTACAAATGCTTTTTAGTCGTATTTCGAGCATATATATTCGGGAATAATTGCACTAGCTTCACTGATAATATCTCTTCGATAAATGCATATAAAGAATGTGCCTTTTCATGTTGTATTTGTCTTTACAACTGAACTTACACATTGAGCACTTGATAGGTTTCAGTGCTGAATGCTTATGGCGAACGTGACTTTTCAAATTTCTTTTTGTGGCACTCGAATATTCACACTCCGTGCACCGATAAGGTCATTCTTCTGAATGCTTATGGCGAACGTGACTTTTCAAGTTTGCTTTTGAGGCACTCGAATATTCACACTCCGTGCAGCGGTAAGGTCTCTCTTCGGAATGCTTATGGCGAACGTGACTTTTCAAGTTTGCTTTTGTGGCACACGAATATTCACACTCCGTGCAGCGGTAAGGTCTCTCATCTGAATGCTTATGGCCAACGTGTTGACTCAATTCCCATCTTGTGACAAATTTTGATTCACACTTCGCGCAGTAAAACTGTCTCTTCGTGGAATGCTTACGGATAAAGTGATTACGCAAATATGCGTTTTTTGCAAATGCTGATTCACACTCCGTGCAGCGGAACGGTCTCTTTGTGGAATGTTTATGGAGAAAGTGACTATTCAACTGTCGTTTTCTGACACATGAATATTCACACTGCGTGAATTGTGATTTCTCGGTCTCGGCAGGTTTAGGAAGAACATTAGTTTCTAGTTTTCTTGTCCTCGCACACGAACTTTTTGATCTGCAGTTGTTTACCTTTTCGTGCGACTGTGCGCCACTGCTACTTGGCTGAATCAGATGCCCTGTACGATTACCTTCTTCACGGCCAGAATGATGAATGATGAATGAAAGTTCCGTGGGACTGTACTGCTGCAGGTCAGGTGCTGCAGCAGAATGTTCCATGAGACAGTGCTGCTGCAGGTCAGGTGCTGCAGCAGAATGTTCCGTGAGACTGTGCTGCAGCAGGTCAGGTGCTGCAGCAGAATGTTCCGTGAGACTGTGCTGCTGCAGGCCAGGTGCTGCAGCAGCACATTCGGTGCGTGGCTCGTAGCTGGACGATCCAGGAACGTCTTCTCTGTCACCAGCTTCATCTGGAGCTCCTGCAGGTGTGTGCGATGCTCCACGGCCGTGCTGGTATAACAGAGACAACAATGAATTCTACGTAAAATATCAAATAAGGAGGATGCGTATACTACCACTACTACTCGTGCTTAGTGAGCCTCGTTTAAATAAAAGTATGATCACCGAAATGTTAATGCTTCCATAAATGAGTTTTCATATTACAAAACGTTTAATTAACGTTTAATTAACGTTTAAAATTGATTGGAAACATTTAATTCCAAAGCGGTTAATTCCGCTATATGTTTAGGAATTAGGAGTGATGAGATGTTGAAACGTGAATATCAAACATTAAATTTACGCATCTATGCACGTCTCTGTGTCTTTCGCAACTGTAATTACGTCAAACATTAATCTATACATGTTTATTTTACACGTAATTAATGTTTTAATTCAGTACCCATACCCTCATTTTGCCGTTAAATATGATGAAAAAAATACAAATACAATACAATTACAATGCAATACAAATACAACCAAGCCCATCATGCAAGTAAACAAAGCTAAGTCAATTTCGTAGCTGTGTCAAACATGTAATTTTCTTAATTTTTTCTTCGTTATTCAAATTATAAATTTGTCCACGAATTATGTTCCATCCAGAGGAACCATGGCCGATGCAGCACAATGTCTTCCCATCAATCCAACAAATTACGGGCCACACAAAGTTTCTTGCCGCGCACGTTCCTCAAGATCTGTCGGGAGCCGCGAGATCATCACAAGACTATTTATTTTATAGTATGAAGGCACGTTGGTTTTATTCATTTAACGAGTACCATCAGTTTATTCTACCTTGAAATCATAACAACGTAAAAGCGTTTAGTGTTGCAAGTTTTGGCAGCGTGGGTCAGTAGTGACTGAAAAGCGTGACATAAGCACTACAGGTACTCGTATTGGGTTAAGGCACACACTTAATTGTTCACAACACAGTTAAGTGTATGCCTCCGCTACCCACAACAGTTCATTTGAGGTATGGCAGCACAGCAGCAGGAGGGGAATCTTACTCAGGAAAAGCTCTCCCTGTGGTACTGATTTGATGACCGCATACACTTATGCCGTAGACCAGAAGGCAGACTATGTTCGTCTCTGATAAAATATGAACAACTTTTACAGTGTCCCTATCAGACGAAAAACTTGTACGTGGGTATGATTATTAGCATTAAAAGTTAAGGCAGGATAAATTTTCGTCTATTGTGTTGTTCAACATGTATTTTACCTGTTACTATTTACCTGTTTCTTCTTCTGAGACTCGTATCCAATCTCATCGTTTGACTTCTTCGAGTTCTCTACTGAACCTCTGAGGCCTGGGGATGGGACACCATCTGCCATATCTGAACACAAAAAAATGAATCAAAGGTTCACTTCACAAAATTTAACCACTAAAGCAAACTGCATGAAAAAAGAGTATTGTCATAATCTCAGTCTCGAGTAAATGTCTCAGCCATATTGGCCTTCTTACTGTCGGATTCCCAAGTCCTCCTGCAAAGGTAGAGAGTATTTGCTATAGAGAGGAAGTGAATCCGTTTTCAAGTTACCCAATGCTTACAAATCACCCATTCGTGTCACTTCCCAATTAAATCATTATTAAATGCTTTGCTCACCTCCAGCTTCGCCATTACCAGCATCAGCTGTCCCTCGAGAGGTGCTCGGCTCATCGCACCAGGCCCTCCAAAATGGGGCGCCAGATTTTTCTTCCATCAGATTCTGCCTTACTTCGCAATGGATGACAGGACGTAGTATAATTTTATTTCCTATTTTGATCGACCATTTATAAAGTTATTATTTTGACATGTTAAAATCAAGTATATCCCCGAACCGGGCAGCATGGAAAAAATATATACCCGTTACACACAATTATTAGGCTCAGAAAATATCATTGAGCTCTCAGTCGAAAAGTTTAGATTTATTCGCGGTAATTCCGAATTCCTAAATAAAAAGTTCATCTAACCTACAAATTCCTCCTAACCCCCAAAATTGTTCGTGCAAAGCTCGAAACTTCATCTGCTCTGTAACCACACTTTACCTGGCAAGGAGGGCACCATTTTCCATTTTGGAAGCCAAGGCATCTTCCGTTGCACTAACAATTATTTTGCTGAGAGACGGTATTTACACCACACGGATAAGCTGAGTGCTTCGAAAACAAAGACTGAAATACCAGAAAAATTATTATGGATTACATCAATGATTTTTCACAATTAACCACAGCCCGAAGCGTCTCTACAGCCGACGATAGTGACGTGCGTGTGACGTCATAAAATGTTCCACTCACGACACATATAACGATGGGGAAAGCGGCCCTGGCTTAATGACTATAGGCTGTTTCTACATGTGTTACGAGCACCAATTATTAATTATTATTATTAATCCACATTAAGTTTTAACTTTCCACGTATTTGTAACCCGAGTTTAAAACGTACTGTGTCACGATTTTTCTTTGAATCTTTGAGTTATAGTCTTAAAAATTCACTTAGAATTACTCCACAGGCACAGATTACTTGATTTTAAAATTGTTTCACAACAGAGCAAATGAAGTAATCCAACACTTCAACATACAAGACTTCAACAAGAACAATTTGCCTACATAGCACTTGCTGCAGCTGTGGGCCAGATCATCTGATTCTTCATCGTCGTCGCCAAGTTGATCTTCACTCAATAAATTCCGATCGGCGTCTGATGGTATTTTCTTACTAGCTGCAAATTTTGACCAGGTTTCTTATGTTAAATGCAAAATAATTTTTAGCAATTCAAAGAGGTAATGTCATAATTGCACAGACATAACAATCGAATTTAGGTAATGATCTAATGCCAAAAAAAAACAATTCATGTCAGTAACATGACCAGGAGCATCAGTAGATCAATTTCTCACAAATAACCTTTACCTAAGAAATTGACGCAGGTTCTAGTATATCCACTTTTATGTTATTTGGGGGATGGTGACTTCAAATGGAAATTCCGTCTTACTCATCACCTGTCATCTCTTAAATGTGCAGAGTTGGCATTTAGAACACATATTCAGAGAGTGACCAGAGATCGGTAAACAGGTGGACCGATTTCCGATTGATGCCGTAGTTTTCGCTTGGTAACATAAATACGGTAATTAACATATGACATATGGACACAATTGTGTTATATCTCTGACGGCCACTGGCTAACAGGCCTTTAGATCGAGTAGTGGTATGTACCACGAATAAATACAATGAATACACGACTTTTAATGTATTCGTTGACTATAGGGCTGAAGTGACTAGATCCGGATACACGGAAGAGGCTTGATAATCTCACGAATTTCTTCCCATCTACAATTTACCGCATACATTCTTATGTTATTTGCATTTGTATTTCCATTAGTAGAGATCTGACAGCCCATATAAATTAATGGAAATTTCGCAACATAAATAGAGAGGACAAAGTACCACGAAAGAGTTCCCAAACAAATTACCACAGCTCAAAGGCTGAAGCTTATCAGTATTGTCGCTCTATTCTCAGCAGGTTCCTCCTCAGCTCCCGCAATATTTATATAAAGCGCAAGCAAGCGTAGACTTTCACCTGGGATTGCTAGTTCTAACACTGGATTTAATGAGTAGGTATAAAAAATTTTCATAACATTATTATTTCGCATGCAGATGCTCTTCGTATTAGTCCCTACTCTGGTTGATCTGAAGAACCGTATCACTGCTACGGTGCACTCAGTAACAGAAGATATGCTTTCTCGTGTGTGGGGCGAGCTTGGCTAGCGTATAGATGTTTGCCGTGCAGCACAAGGGGGACATATTTAACATTTATAAATATGTTTAAAATGTGGAAATTTTTATTTCCATTTGTGTATAAATTATTCATTTACAATTTATACTTTAAAAAATACTCATTTTCAAAATTGGGTCTATCGCTCCTTTTTGTAAAATCGGCAAAGGCCGAACGCGGCCTATTTATCAGCGTCAATGGAACTTTATGTACTAAAATGCATTACATTAATAAATATGCAGCGAAAGGATCGAAAATGTTTTCTAAGATTTGTCACTCTCTTATAGAATAAAATAAGTATTTTGGGACTGGTATTTGCCTGGTAACTCTAGTTTCAAAACATATTTCATAATTTTATAAGATAATGGAATATCAATATACCGGAAAACCAATATTGTTTTGCACAGTTTAGCACTCCATCATGTTTTATCTTCTACCGAAAGTACCCATGACCACGATAATATTTTCTACGGAATGCACGTAGAAAACCATTATTCAGCAGTAACACAAGCAAAACTGAAAATTCGTCTTCTATCATATCTTAATTGAAACCTAAAACTAATTAATTTCATCAGAAAGCCAAGCATTTATATCAAATTACCGCTCAGTTCATTCTCGGATAGCTTGCCTTCTGGTGTCTGTGATTTCATTAGCAGACTATCAGGGCTCAAGGCCTGTATTCAGGTTCAATACAATAGCGATAATTCAGTCTTGTGTTCGAGAAACATTACAATTACAAAAGCTTGCCATAAAATTAATTCAAAAAGCTGAAGCAGGTTGTTAAAGTTGAAAATGAATTATGCTCATCAGTTTATCCAAAGTTTCGATTATAAATTTATCATTTACTCTTATTTGGATGGAATTCTCGAGTGTAAATCCATAATTATTCATTTCTTAATGCGATTAATTAATGCTTTTACACTAAAATCTTGGTATAATTTTTAGTATTTTGATCGTGAGCCAGCCGCTTCGAGATTTAGGGGAAAAATGTCGTTTGAGTTTTAGTTGCCTGAGTAACTTTTCACTTGGCACTTTATCTTTATTTTTGTCGTCACTCGCATGAGTGACCTACTAATTTGTTAGAATAAATTTAGCTGGGCAGTAATTCTAGGAATAACGCTGAGACTAGCATCGTTGGTTCTATGACAAAGCATTAGAAAACTAGTTAATGGACACAGATACGTGAAAACTTTCAAACCATTACTTCACACAAACGAAGTTTCAAGCAAATATTATGGACAAATGAGCCTCAAATCGGAAATTACGTAGGAATTTGGTTACAAAAAACTGACAACATAACTTCATGATATTTTTAATGAAACGTTTCAGGGAACAGCTCCATATTCAATGAAAAATTGTATTCAATCAAGTGTGATATACTTGAATTATTAGCAATTAATAATTGAGTTGCGACGAACAATGTTATCCTTTATCATTAATTATGTAATTGATCACAATCGGTATTTATTTCTACATACTTCTTCTGTATGTAGAAAGCGATAACAAAATCCTAAATTGGCTTCTTCACTAAATTCTCATTTCATTAGCCAATTGACTCAATAATCTCTTTCGTGTAGACATAACCTTAACATTTGCTCATACCTAACTTGTTTAGTTTTTTAATAGATGCCGGAGTTGATTTACAAAGCATTTTCAATTAAAATATGATGCATTTTTCGGCATTTTCTCTACAGTTTAATCTATTGCCTCCCTAAAAAATCAATTTGAGCATCGTTCGACGTTATTGTTTGAATTTGCCTTCGTTGGCGTCTAATTTTTCCAGTAATGTAGAGCTCCAGCTTATTACACTTACATACTGATACCAAAGTCTTATTTCATGCGAACATCCATATACGCTTACTAGGTCAGTCCTACGAGGACCATTGAAAGAGAGAGTCTTTATAGATTCAAATCTTCAAACGATGAACCACTTCCACATGAAAGTTACATTGTTTTCAGTGGAAATAATCAAATTTAAACCATTAACTTCCCAATAATGGATAAAATATCGAATAGATCATGTAATCAATATTAACAACAAATTTTATACGAGTAATTTTGACCATAACTTATTGCCATGCTATTTAGGCCATAGCTTATATGCCTGGAAAATATTTCTAAACTTTATTTTAGAGCGCAATTTGCTAACTTTAATATTTCGGAACTTCTATCCGCACGTGTCGGATTTGGCTATTTAGCTTTGACCATGCTAGCTTGCACATGAAATTATATTCCGCTCCATTACACAATAATAATGATAACAATAATAAGATAATAAAGTAGGAAATTTTTAAATATCAAATCAAGAGTGCAGTTCTTACTACACTAACCTTTGTTGAACATTCGACAATGCATCAATTTTTACCGAAGAAACCCATCACTTTATCGCTATTTTTTTAACAGTACCAAAGAAAAATCTATCTTTCTATGAGAAACTAAACTAAGATAAAAAGAATGTGAGAACCTCGGGTTAGAACGTGATGTTCGTATTGTTTTTACCATTCTAAGGAAGATTTAATTTTCTGGAATTTATTTGTACTAAGCCTGTGGACCGCGCAGTTAAGATTTTCCGCGCAGACGGCGCTGGAAAAATCTCAATCTTTTCACTTAGCGCAGAAAGTTACGCAGAATTTATGACCTTGCCTGCCGTCGCATCGTGCTGTAACAGTTGCTCTCTGTTTTTATTATCTGAAGTTATTGGCTAGAGAACTAGCTAGGCGTTTGAACTCTTTTTCTCGCTCGATGAGTTAAACGCCAAATCTGGCTATAAATTAGCTAAACTGGCCACAGTAAGAGGAACACCGCTGACTTCAACCGCCTGGCGATCCGCTCAGGCGCAATTTATTAGCATGAAGCATACGACAAAATATCAAAATTTCGTAATATTTGACAAACGTTTTCATAATTTCATTTATTATAAGTGTAGTTTGAGAGAAATATTACTAGAAATAATTCTAGTAGATATTAGTTCAGAAGATAATTAATAATTAGTGCCGATTGTTTACATCTCTCATTGCCATGTGATTTCTTGATATGAAAAATTCGGCTTTCCAATGTTTAGATAATAAAAACCGTCAGAGGATCCAATGTATGCATTAGAACTCCGCCGGTCCGCGTAAAAACACGGCTCGTATTTACCAAATTTGCGATGAGACAGGCCTGCAGCGAGACCATCACCTGCGTTATAGAACAACTTCTTCCTAGTTGTACCAATTTATGAACATAGAGCCATATTTTTGGAGAAACAAGGCAGGAAATGTTTTCCTTAACACGCGTTGCATTATGACAAGTATTCCACACTTTCTCGCATTTTAGATCCGTCTCCAAATTTAAGCTATGACTATTTTTTCTTATGTGCTAAGCATAAATTGCCAAAAATTCATGGGTGTCTTCGATAAAAAGTTATGTACAGACAGGTGATCAATTTGCGTTGAGAAAATTAAACAGTAAAATCTAACATGAGGAATCTAAAGTAAAATAATCCTACTTATAAAGAATCAGATGGACAGGAACCAGGTTTAATATTATAGCGCAGACAAGCGGGGCCGCAAGCTCGTTTGC